TAGTCATCTTTTGACGAGAGAATTACAATAGATTTTAAGAATTAATACAATAGACTTCAAGAATTACAATAGATTTAAAATAGTTCTTTAAATACATAGTAATTTTTTAAGGAATATTTATTTAATCTGAGTGATTCAGTAATATTACGGCACCGTAAAATTTACGGTATATTAGATATCTTTTTCCATGACACGTTCCCGGAAAAATTGTATTTCATGGTAAAAAATACTGTCGATCTGAGTACCGTTACTTTTTACCGTATTTTTTACAGTGAATTTAACACATCGTTTTGCCTACTTTTGACTTTCTATAGTGTAAAATATTTTCGTTGAGCAGAAAAAAAAATGTTTAATGTATGTTTAAAATAGTTCTCCTAGCATGCAAAAAAAATTAAATCCTATCCTATCAACATAATATTTCATCTTGTCACAAGTCCTATAAATCGAACATCTTCACTTCTGCCATAGTCCCTCAAACATAACCCCAGTACATCTATCCAAGTGTACTGAACCAGAAGAAAACGATGCTGCAGGGAAAAAGAGGTGTCCTAAAAGGGTCAGGAGTAAGGCAAGGCAGGGTGGTGCTGAGTGAGCTGCTATGGGGCGATAACTGTCCATAGCCTCCTTTTTAGAAAAAAGAGAGATATGGATTATTATATGCGGTTCGAATATGTCGCCTGCTCAGCTTAGATATCAGTGCTCGAACACCTTGCCACAAAATTTTTATAGAAGAAAAAAAACCTAAGAAATACTACTGAAAGCGATAAAAAGAAGAGAGCACAAAACGAGCTTTGCTTTTTTACTTCATCTCTCCTGCTAAATTATTGGAAGATATTTTGTAAGCTGTTTTTAAAAACTCTTCTTGAAAGTGTTGAATATAACTTATACAAAAAACAACCAGGAATCGAAGTTTGAAATATGACATTTTTTTATGGAATTACTTCTACTTAAAAGGGGAATGTATTTTTCTGAAAGGAACTGTTAGTTTTTCGAACACTCGTTTCACAAGCTATTTAGTGAAGTGTGCACTCATATATTTTATATTTATTTGATTTCATTGAATGTGAATAAAGTAGTTCAATTATTCTTTATTTATTATTTATAACAATTTTTATGCATTGTTTAAGTGTAATACAGAAAATAAATCATATAAACGTATGTATAAGTAGCAATTTGAAAATATAATTGAAAAGTTTAATTCCTACTTTGGAATCGTAAATAATAAGTATATTTTAATAATATTTAGAGTTATCATTATATAAAATCCATCATTACATATAAAGGTGTGCTTAGAAAATTATTATTTTATAAGCATGTATCTATTTATAGAAATCAACACAGCTGAAAATTAAAAATGTAAAAATTGCATCGAAAGAGAACAAACTATTTGAAAATTAAAAATATCAAAAACTACTATCGTATTAAGTACAGCAAGGGACAATGTTGCATTCACTGGATTATAAAATCAGCCGCTTTTGAAATTAAATCAGCAAGAACGAAAATGCTCTAATATCAACATGCATTAAAACCATCTTTTGATCAAATCATGTTTTCCATTTTATAAAATCAAGAATTTACTGGGCATATCTTTTAAAAAAGAAAACAAATTTGCATAATTTTTCTCCAATAATTACGAATGTTATTAAATTGCAAAAAAATATAAATCAATTTTAATTCTTTAATTTTATATAAATCAATTTTCATTCTATTTTTTGAAGAAATATTACTCACTTTCAATATGGTTAAGATTAAAATATACGGTTTTATTGCCATGTATGATTTTATTGACATTCTTTTCAGAAGTTTGAACTTAAAAACCAGGAGAAAAATGTCTAAATCTTGAGTAAAATTTGGCTATTGTTCTTGTTGTCAAAGAATTTTTTCCAGAAATGGCATTGCCGTACAGTACGGCAATTGTAATAGAATATAGTTCTCTGAGTATATTATAAAATGTATTGAAATTCGAAAATTAATTTAAACAGTTATTAATAAGTGTTACAAAATAATTACTGACTGTATTTTTATTATTTATAATTTTTCTCCAATAATTACGAATGTTATTAAATTGCAAAAAAATATAAATCAATTTTAATTCTTTAATTTTATATAAATCAATTTTCATTCTATTTTCTGAAGAAATATTACTCACTTTCAATATGGTTAAGATTAAAATATACGGTTTTATTGCCATGTATGATTTTATTGACATTCTTTTCAGAAGTTTGAACTTAAAAACCAGGAGAAAAATGTCTAAATCTTGAGCAAAATTTGGCTATTGTTCTTGTTGTCAAAGAATTTTTTCCAGAAATGGCATTGCCGTACAGTACGGCAATTGTAATAGAATATAGTTCTCTGAATATAGTTCTATTATAAAATGTATTGAAATTCGAAAATTAATTTAAACAGTTATCAATAAGTGTTACAAAATAATTACAGACTGTATTTTTATTATTTATAAATAGATATTCATATGGTTAATATTGCCTTAGTCTATTAACTGGAAATTTAAAATCCCTCAATATTTTAAAAACTCAGACATAAAAGCCAAATGAGCATTTTAAAATATTTTCAAGATAGCCAATAATTGAATGCCTAATAATATATTAAAAATAATTGCAGGCAATATATTTTTTCACAACAAATAAAAAAAATATTCTCATTAAAAAAGGTGCATTAAACATCATTATTTTTAAATTTTATTTTTTATTTTTACCAACACACAGTTTTGGTATGACTTTAATTTTTCAAATGCTGTAACCATATTCTTTTTAGTGCAAAAAAACTACCACATGAGTAAAAAGGAACCACATATGAAACTGCCACATGAAATGAACATTTTAAAATATTTTCAAGATAGCTAATAATTGAATACATAATAACATATTAAAAAATAATACAGGCAATTTATTTTAGTATTTTGTTTTAATACAATTCTTAACAACTTAATAAGTACACAAAGGGACATGTTTAGTAAACTGTAATATTTTTATTTGCATAACGGCACTATAAGAAGGTATTTTTACGAAAAACATATTATATATTTAAACTTAATAAATTTAAACTAATTAAAGTTGAACTTCATAAACTTAAAATTTAATTATAAATTTGAACATAGTTTCCCCTAAATTTCTGTGCGTGACTTACTACTTTATAAGCATTTATTATTTACACCAAATTAAATAAATATTCGCTTTAAAAAAGGTACATTAAACATCATTATTTTTAAATTTTATTTTTACCACCACACAGTTTAGGGGTGAGACTTTAATTTTTCAAATGCAGTAACCATGTTCTTTTTAGTGCAAAAAAAAAACTGCCACATGAATAAAAAGGAATTTTATATCCCTCACACGATGGCAGTGACAAAAAACCGAGAAAGATTTTATCATTTCTATTTCAATATTCCAGGAGTATATATTGAAATAAAAATGATAGAAGTATTGAGAGTATAAAGCTTTTTCAATGTTTTTGAAGAAACTGAATTCTCCAGTTTTGAATCAAATATAAATAAAATGATCAAAAAAATACTGTATGCGACTTTAATAAAAGCCAGAAAAGGACAGATGTAATAGGAATTTCATATTCTGAATGTTAAGATATTAAAAACTATGTTGAATTTTATGTGTATAAAAATATCACAGACTTCTATACATTTCTTCATAAATATGCTATATCCAATCTCATAGTGTTTTAATTGTTACAAAATATTGGAGAAACGTAGTACCTTGAACTACATGTCCCTCAAACCAGTGCAAATATTTTCTCCCCCTAGTGAAGACATTCAAAATTCAGTATTTGTGGTTGATAGCAGTACACTGTAAAAAATTATGTATGAAATTGTGGCAAAAAGTACTAGCCCCCCCCCTGAGTGTGGCATGTATATAATCTATTTTGCCTACGGCAAACATTTTTACAGCAATTGGAATATTTATTTAATTCCTATCATTTATCTCGTTGACCATTTAAAGTTTTCCTGATCTGTGCTCAAGAAAGTGTTTGATAACGCGGTAATGTAGTAGTTAAGATACAGTAGTTAGAAAAAGAAGCGCTATATTATATACATTTCAAAACAAAACTAAGGTGGATCTGTACCAAAATGCTATTTTCTGTAAGATAATAATTTTTCTGTTTTTCTTTTTAAAGAAACCTCTATTTTTATTAGACATGCAAGGAATTATCGCCAGTGATCGATGCTGCCTGAATTAAAAAAAATTATCTTCTTAGCTAAAATATTAGGTTTTGAAGTATTGCAATAGAACATAATTTGGTATTTTTTTATAATTCTTTACTCATTTTATGCAGGTTATTTGAGCTATCCTTTAAAACTAAACAATTATTGCTTGAATATTCAAATCAAAACAGGAACTCAAAGTCAGGGATATATAATACAACTATGTAATTGAACAATGATGCAACATAATAAGGCACCATGAGCTCAATTTTGTCATTTTTACTTACCAATCATTAATACTGTTTAGTATTATTTAATGATTTTTACTACAATTTTTACATTTTTTTTAAATGTATGCTATTATTCGTTCCTAATAATTATACTTTTATACGAACACAGAATGTATTTCTCAAAAATTAATTGCAAATTGAATTTTTACTTTCTTTCTAAAGAAGGCCAAAACTCCTCTAAAGCGAACCAAACACCAAATCTAAAATATACAAATAAATTTTATTCTAAATAAAAAATTATAAATTTACATGCTATTTTTCACTAACAATGGAATATAATTTATTAATTTGTTTTAATAAAGCTATTTTTTAAGAAAACAGCTTAATATTATTTTTAATAATATTAAACTAATTTTCTTAATATTATTCAAAAAAATTCTTTGATGATTTTCTTTGACTTTAGTCAGCATAAAGGTAAATACGCAAATTGTGACAATTATATTACTTCCGTTTTTTTTGTGCGACATGATGAACATGTATTTTACCAAAAAGAAATTATGGGCTGTCTTCAATTTATATATTAATTCTTTTTCTTGCAGTTATTAAAGAAGTGTATGAAATAAGTGTGCAAGACAGCACTGTTCCGACTCAGAATACTGCCCTCATAAGGTGCCACGTGCCCTCATCCGTTTCAAGCTACGTGCAAGTATCAGCTTGGTTGACAGACGATGGATTAACAATTCTCGCTCATGATGATCATGGTAACTCTAGTTTTATTTTTTAATATAGTGACTTAAATAGTTACCTAATAATGACTTAAATAATTACCAAATTAATTAATAATAAAAATAGCACAGAAAACGCCCTAAGGAGCATAAATAAAACCCTTTTAACGTCGTGCAAATGTGTTTCAATGCTGTAAATAGTTCTATAAAAATGCAAAATGTTTGCCCAGGGAAAAAGTTGTTCAAGACTATTTTCTTTCTTACATCTGTAATTAATTTTTTTTTTTCACTTTCCTTTTCTATTGAGAGGAAAATGAAAATGTTTTTAATACATACAATAATGTAAATAATTAATCGAATTTTTTTTTAAATCTACCATACTCAAACTAATAAATGTGTATATTAAATGTTTGTTCATTTTAATAAAAACACAACTTAAATATTTAGATAATTCTTTATTCAGTTTTAATTCCTGTAACAAAAAATGGGGCAAGTTATTTAGTGAAGATAATAGATGGAGCTTTTTGAGTACATAAACAAATCCAATAATCAAATTTTGCTTGACTAATTGAATTTGTTATAAATTTAAAAATATAATTAACTTAAACAAACTAATTAAATTATCTGAAAATAAATCCTTTTAAATTGAATGTGTATTACTTACAAAATTAGTAAGTGCAAACTCTTGTAAATTCATTAAATTAATTAAACAGAAATAATAATGAAATAAAATGTATTTTTATACAAGAAACTTGTTTGGCTTAAGAAAATGATAAGTAAAGTTTATGGATGGATCAAGCAAGAATAAACTGATTGATTGAGTTAATCCGGCTTAAGAATGTTTTTTTATCGATGTGGGAGTTAATCAACAGCAATTTTCTGAAAAAGGTTATTCCTCGTAACAAATTGATATCTTTATCCTATAAAATGTAAGTTTGAAATTTGTCTTAATAATAATATTGAAAATATATGAGATTAGGTTGAACTATTACGAATGAAATGTAATGGTAACTACAAATATTTATTTGGTAATTAATTAAGAAAAGAATTTCTTGCAAATTTCGATATTTTTATTTAATAGCACTAAGCACACGCGGAAAAAAAATCTGGTGAAATTACCTCGTTGTATGGTAATGACATTCCCTATTAATTAAATACATATTTCTGGTTACTACCAAAAAAACAAAATATACGGTATTTAAACCACGCATTAGGTAAATTTATTTGTTCGTATGATAAGGGCTTATCGGGACTTCTGTTTTGAAAATTATAGTCCTTATTACCACAATTAAAATTACAGTTTAATAAAAATACAAAACTGGAAGAAGAAAAAAAAACAAATGGTTTTAAGCTGCTCCTAAATATTGTGATAAAATTACCAAAATGTACCCCTTTAACAAATTTTATATCTCATATCATAAAACAATACTATTAATTTTACCAAAATCATTGCAAAATCGCTGCAGTTAAAATTACCGAGCTTTTGTTGTTCCTATATAAACAAAAGCACAGTAAGCATATTCTGATAGATTTGACCATACGTTTCTTGCATGGTATAATTTGAAGGAAAAAAAGGAAAATATGTGAAAATGACTAAAACAAATGATTTATTAAAAAACTGATTTATTAGAAATTTATTTTCGCTAATTTTTAATCCAAAAAATCATGTTTTTAGATTATTAAATTTACAAGGAATATATAATGTAGATAAAATATTAAGTACACTTTCCGTAGGTTTTACATCTATAACCAAGAAAAAATATTCTATGAGCAAATATCATTTTCATTTACCCTATGTAGCTTCATTAATTTGCTCCTAGGTAAATGCTACTAATATGCTCAAATTTTTTGACAAGTTAATGCTTATTTTCCATAACACTATTTATTGATTGGAATATTTGTCGTTATCAAGTTCATAATTAGAATTAACATATTTACTATGAGGAATAAATATGAAGGGAAAATGACGTGACTAGAGCACATAAAGTATGCTTTAGTACCATAACGGAACATCCTCTTCAGTGTAAAAACGTATAATAAATGTAAACATAAAATTTCTGTGTTTCGACGTTGTAGAAAATGCTTAGCTGTAGTAATGGAGGGATTGAAAGTATATTTAAATGATATTATTTTTTTTTTAATTCTGTTTGAGTTTTATTCACAAATTTAAACTTTCATTTATTTTACTGCTAAACTTTATTTAAGTGAGATAAATTCAGAGAAATATTTATTAATAATTTTTAATTATTAATAATTTTTAATTATTAATAATTTTTAATTATTAATAATTTTTAATTATTAATAATTTTTAATTATTAATAAATTTTCATTACTAATAATTTTTAATAATTCATAATTTTTAATTATTAATAATTTTTAATTATTAATAAATTTTAATTACTAATAATTTTTAATTATTCATAATTTTTCATTATTAATATATATTCAAATTAAGACTGTGTAACTTGAATAAAAATATCAGTCAAGAACAGTAAGTAACTATAAAGTATTTTACGTATTTTCATCTAGTATTTCTTTAAAAAATCTAGAGAAAAAGCATGAATGCTACCGAAAGCATAACCTGAATGTAATATTCTAATTTTTTCCTACTTGTAATTGAACTTATGAAAAGATGGAAATTCTTCCATTAAGAAAAAAGTTTCGACTCTATGTTCTAATTGGACATTTACGAATTAGGCCCTACTTTTTATTATCCTAAAAATGTTGTGAAAAGTAAACAGAAGTGAACCGTAGAAAATATGAGAATTAGCTTAAACAAAAAACTCATTCATTGACTATAAAAGAATAGACAGTATTTAGTTTTTTTTTTAACCAGAATTAACTAGGAAAAATTTGAAAAGTAATCCCGAGAAAATTTTAAAAGTAAAAAAAGCAGAAAAAAAATTATTTGATACCAGTAATAGAAAAAAGAGTATTTTCCATCCATCTAACCCTTCATTTCATGGAAGATCTAAAAATCATGGAAAATCTTCCTTTCACTTCATGGAAAAACCGGAGATGCAGACAAAACTTAATAAATTTAACTGAATAAACTGAACTAAATAAACACAACTGAATAAAATACTGCGTTCATATAAAAAATTTAAATACTGACCTACCTTTACAAAACTATAATAAAGAAGAAATATTACATTTATTTTGGCTTGTTTAACTTAAATTAAATCAATTCGGTATAAAGTTCGGAGCTAATTAAAAAAAAGAAATGGATTAAAGATAGACTGACCGTGTTCTTTCTCTTTTATAAGCTTTTTTATTGGAAACCAAAGGAGTAAAGACAGGAAAGATCAAGAGAAATATCATATGATAAAATATTGTTTCTTTCTACCTAAAATTCATAACTTATTTAAAGCTAAAAAGTTTTTAGCAGAAGAAAGGAAAACAATTAATAACTATAGTCGGATGATAAAACAGGAAGCTTTAAAATATTGTTTCTTTCTACCTAAAATTCATTACTTATTTAAAGCTAAAAAGTTTTTACCAGAAGAAAGGAAAACAATGAATAACTATAGTCGGATGATAAAACAGGAAGCTTTAAAATATTGTTTCTTTTTACCTAAAATTCATAACTTATTTAAAGCTAAAAAGTTTTTAGCAGAAGAAAGGCAAACAATGAATAACTATAGTCGGATGATAAAACAGGAAGCTTTTAAAAAGCTTATAAAAAGCTTGATTTTTGTTTACTGTAAAATTGATACGAAAAGTTATAAAAACATAATATTTATCTTGGAAATGTTTATCTAAGGTAAAATTGAGCCAGAAAATCGTATTGCTAATAAAAAAAAGCCTAAATGAAAGTAAATAGTTGAAATACACATTGACAAAAAAGCTCTTCAATAACTGTAAGTATATAGGATGTATTTGATTTCCTTCAAACATTATTTTCCAGCTCAAATATAAAAAGAAAATGTAATTCATGAAACGTCGACAAAAAGTCATTTAACAAATATAAGTGAATAATGCGTATTTTATGCAATTTAAACAAAATCTTCCTGAATACAAATAAATAAAAATATCGAAAGAACATGAATAAAAGAGTCAATAACTAAAAGTAAATAGATAATCATCCCTTCTCTTTAACAAGCGTTTTCCTCAAAAACTTAAAGAACAAACTTTGCTCTAAAATTCTAATTGCTGTTGAGGAAACTACACCTAAATAAAATACCTAATAATAAAATAATAAATAAAATACCATTTATATGAATAACAATAATATATCTATTCATATACACCGAAGAGCCATTACATTATGACTAACCTCCATCTATAACAATGGTCTCGCCCAGGTTTTCAGGGCTTCTCGCCCAGGAAAAATGTTTTCATGGGGCACATTAGGACCCATAATCCTCATCGAACAATCCCTGACGTCTGTAAGCTACTTGAACATAGTTGCAGACCAGGTTCACCCATTCATGGCAACAGTTTTTCCTGTGGGGGATGGTGTTTACCAACAGGATAATGCACCATGTCATAAGGGTCGAATCGTCATGGATTGGTTCGAGGAACATTCCGGTGAGTTTCAAGTCATGTCTTGGCCCCCAAATTCACCTGACCGTAATCCAATAGAGGATTTGGGGTCCTACTTCATGCTGCCACGCTACCCCCTCGCAATGCGAGAGAATTGCAGGACCAGTTGGTGAGCGCTTGGTACCAGATACCTCAGACTACCTATCAGCACTTTGTGGAATCAATGACACGGCGGGTGCTCGCAGTTTTGAGGGCTACAGGTGGTCCTACATGTTATTAGCAGGGTGGTCATAATGTAATGGCTCTTCGGTGTAATTACATTCTTAAAAATAACATTCTCTCTACCTTTAATTCCCCTTATTTAAAGTTTATGCAGTGACATATTCCAGTAAAAAGAAATTTGACAGAAATGAACTATTATCTTTAATAAATTAATGTAATTAATCATAAGTAATATAAAAATCTATATTCTTGAAAATTAATTATTCATGTCTATTCATAAAAATTCGCAATTTTTATATAAACAGAGAGTAATTCATTCTTTTTAACCA